CGATTCCAGAAGGTGGTGCTGGAGGACTTTGGCTCTGCGCCATGGAAACTCTGCCATGGAGTACCACAGGGGTCCATTCTGTCCCCCTTGCTATTTAACATCTACATGAAACCGTTGGGAGAGGTCATCAGGAGGTTTGGGCTGCGGAGTCATCAATATGCTGATGACACCCAGCTCTACCTCTCTTTTTCAACTAATCCAGGTGAGGCAGTGGCTGTACTGAACCAGTGCCTGGCCGAGGTAATGGGCTGGATGAGGGCCAATGAACTGAAGCTCAATTCAGATAAGGTGGAGGTTCTGTTGGTCGATGGTTCGAGCTCCTGGGTAGGTGACTTGGGCCTTGCCCTGGATGGGGTTGTACTCCCTCTAATGGACAGGGTCTGGAGCTTGGGAGTGCTCCTCGACCCAGAGCTGTCCTTGGAAGCTCAAGCAACAGCGGTGGTGAGGAGCACTTTCCTTCAGCTTCGGCTGATCCATCAGCTGTGTCCCTACCTGGAGGAAGATTGCTAGCAACAGTAACACATGCATTGGTTACTTCCCGGTTGGACTTCTGCAACGCGCTTTACATGGGGCTGCCCTTGAAGACAGTCCAGATACTTCAGATGGTTCAAAATAGAGCTGCCAGGATGCTGTTGGGGACTGGGCGTTATTCTCATATAACCCCAGTCCTCTATCAGCCCCATTGGCTTCCCATCAAAGTCTGGGCTCAATTCAAGGTGCTGATTATTACCTATAAAGCCCTAAATGGCTTGGGACCAGGATACCTTAAGCAACGCCTTTTTCCCTATTTGCCCTCCTGCCCCCTGAGATCCGCAACAGAAGTCCTCCTCCGGGAACCCTCTGTGAAAGATGTTAGGAGACGGAGTACCTGGAGGAGGGCCTTCTCTATGGTGGTGCCCCAACTATGGAATGCACCCCCCAAAGAGGTCCGCCTGGCGCTATCATTATATGTTTTTCGGCGCCAGGGTAAGACCTTTTTATTTAATCAATATTTTAAAATGTTTTAATATTGAATTTTAGTATTGTATTTGCAGCCGGAGTGGGTCGTCAATTTATTTATGCTGTTAGCTGTCCAGAGACGTTAGTAATTGGATGGCATACAAAATTCATAAATAAATAATATAGAGATGTCTAGAAACATTTAGGGTGCAATCCTAGGAAAGAGCTCTATAATTCCCAACATTTCCTTGCCAGCTATACTGATTGAAAAACACTGGGACTAGTAGGTCATGTTCCTGTCTAAACATGTGTAGGAGTACATCTTGGAAGACTTAAGTTTAATTAGCACATTTGGAGTAAGAGGTTATGTTCTCAATGGTATGATTTAGAACTGATGTTATCTAGCCCTCAAATGTGAGGCAGTGCAATCCTATGGCCCTGAGCCAGCGTCTAGAAGGCTATAGGATTTTTCAGACTCTTGGTTCTGACATCAGAAAACAGTGCCAATGTTGGAGCTGGGACTCCACACTTAGAGGCCCTTTTCTCTCCCTTGTAGCTGTCCCAGAAAGGACAGCACCAGCTGCTCTGTTTCATGGGTATTCTGGAAGGCAGCAGACCAGTGTAGCTTTTATTATCCTGGAAGTACCTCTGCCTTCTCCCCTCCCACTCTGAAGTGAGGGCCACTGTGGTATAATGATTAAGTGTGCAGGATTAAGGCTCAGGCAACCTGGGTTCTAGTCCCCGCTCAGTCATGGAGCCACCTGGGTGACTTTGGGCCAGACACACTCAGCCCAACCTACCTCACAGAGGAGTTGTTGTGGTGATAAGTTTGAGCAGAAGGACAAGAATGATATAAGCTGCTTTGAGGAAAAAAACAGGATAGAAAAATTAATAAATAAGTAGCTATGTGCTGCAGTTAGATAGCTGAAATCATCTAGTTACTTTACAGGGCAAGAAAAGCATGGTTAATCTTCACCTCCATGTTCCTCCTGCCCTGCACTGAATACCAATAATCCTCTGTATTGACCTTATAATGAGGTAGCAGAGCATTGGGAAGCATGTGGCCCTAAAGATGTTGCAGTACAATTTTGGAGAGAACAAGCAGCAGAATTTGGTAGAAATTTCATCTTCTTCTCCCAGACCTTGGTAGTCCTAATCCAAATCGGGGCCCTGTGCATTCCCACAGGATTAAATAGAACCACCAGTCTCAGCTACACACTGCCTGAGTAGCATAAAGTAGAGTTTGGCCCTGAGAAGAGGGTTCCAAGAGGGACAAGGTTTTGTTGGGAAAATTTGGGTAAATCCTGTCTGAAAAGCATTACTCCTGTGTGCCTTTGCATTGTGGGATCAAATCCTGTCTTCCTTCTCAAAACCAAGCTGTCACTGTTTAAAATGGCATTCCCCCCCTCCTTTCTCTCACCTTTAGCTGTAGGCTACAGTAGGCCATTTTAGCCCAAATATACATTATAAATATAGTCATCGTTGGAATTCAGTTAACAATAATCTTTTGATAGCCCAGAGGGCTTCATGTGCCCTGATCATGCAGAATGTTAAGGGTCTGAGCTCATCATGAATAGTTTCTAGTGGCTTGAATTTGCATGTCTGAGCAGACCTGGAGATGGGTTCAAGTTGCTCAACTAAAGTGTCAATACTAATCTCATTGTTACAGTGTGACTGACATTTCTTTATCTGTTCTGTATGTGATGACCTCAGAATCTTATTGTAATCTCTGCATTCTGTCATCAATTGCCCTGTACCTGTGTACCTATAAATGCCCTGTAATGGTGTTGAAGCTTTGCAGCAGGGTTCACCTCTGCCTGCCCGTGAGTGTACCGCGGGAACCTTGGGGTAAAACAATAAAGCCTCAGATGGTCTGGACGCTTGGTCTTTCCCACAAACCCGAGTTTTATTCCCTCTTCTCAAATTGAGATTCCGGGATTCTGACAGTTTTTACCGGTCAGTGGCATTTGGCATTCTTGGATTTGACAAGGAGTCCTAATGCTGCCATCTTTCCTTTGTAATCCTCTTGTGTTTCCCAAACCCTTCTACCACCTTTCCCCTCCCCTCCCCTTAAACAGGAAGAAAAAGCCACCAAACAGGAAAAAGCCTATAGCAGCAGCCTAAGCAAGCTGGTGACCTGATCCAAACCGGATACATTTGGGAGCTGTGCCAACTTCTCTTCTTTGGGTAACATGATCAGCAGTTGTAAGAGATGCTAATGAGCAAGCCTGAGACAAAGGCCAGAATTCTTCACCTCTTCCCCCAGTCCAACTTGCTAGCACTGTATTAGTTTAGTTTCCCTCTTCCTTTTACTATTTACTAACAGCCCATTCTGCGAGTGAGACGCTCAAATCATTAGAACACCTGCTGTGGTTAGCAGATGCAAACAGCAAGCACATGCACTTTCATAGTTTCTTGCCAGAGTTTCTCATAACTGCAATGCAAAAAGACATCATTATCAAGGGCAGCCAGGCAGGTTCCTAAACCTTCATCAGCCAAGCAACATCACTGGGCTGCAGTTCCTTATCTACCCTTTCTCATCCAAGCACTCTAAAAAGAAACAAAACCAACATCTGCCAGATACTACTACTATCCTGGGCTGTCCTGCATCGCTCTGCAGATGTGCATCGCAGTAAACCCCACAGGCAGGAGTGAGCAAACATTAAGACCAGGTTGTGGCGAGGCAGCAATATTTAGGGTGAAAGGAAGCCCCACTCTTTTCAAGAGGGTTGAAGAGAATGGAACTTCCTTACAAGTAGACTGGGCGGGGGTGTCAGAATCCCGGAATCTCAATTTGAGAAGAGGAAATAAAACTCGGGGTCATAGGAAAGATCAATCGTTATGAACCTCCGTGTCTTTATTGTCTATGCCAGGATCCCGCGGTTGACTCACGATAATGCATTACCGTCCTAGCAGAGATGAACTCGCTGCAAAGCTTCAATACCATTACAGGGCGTTTATAGGTACACAGGTACAGGGCAATTGATGACAGAATGCAGAGATTACAATAAGATTCTGAGGTCATCACATACAGAACAGAGAAAGAAATGTCAGTCAATCACACTGTAACAATGGGATTAGTATTGACACTTTAGTTGAGCAACTTGAACCCATCTCCAGGTCTGCTCAGACATGCAAATTCAAGCCACTATAAACTATTCATGATAAGCTCAGACCCTTATCTTGACTCTAAACATTCTGCATGATCAGGGCACATGAAGCCCTCTGGGCTATCAAAAGATTATTGTTAACTGAATTCCAACAATGACTATATTTAGAATGGATATTTGGGCTAAAATGGCCTACTGTAGCTTACAGCTAAAGGTGTAGAGCCAGTGTGGCGTAGTGGTTAAGAGCGCAGGACTGGGACTCAGAGGATCCGGGTTCTAGTCCCCGCTCAGCCATGGAGCCAACTGGGTGACTTTGGGCCGGTCACAGCCTCTCAGCCCAACCTACCTCACAGGGTTGTTGTTGTGGGGATAAGATGGAGGAGGAGAGAAGATGTAAGCTGCCTTGAGCCCTTTGTAGGAAAAAGGCAGGATATAAATCGCAATATAAATAAATAAATCGCAATAAAGGTGAGAGAAAGGAGGGGGGGGGAATGCCATTTTAAACAGTGACAGCTTGGTTTTGAGAAGGAAGACAGGATTTGATCCCACAATGCAAAGGCACACAGGAGTAATGCTTTTCAGACAGGATTTACCCAAATTTTCCCAACGGGCGAGACAATTCCCCCACCAGCATCCCCCAGCGCCCTTTCTTCTGTACTTGTGCGGCGAGAGCGCTTCGGCCGGGCCTAGGCAGGGATGGGAGAGGCCGTGAGGAAGGCGTCGCGGCGCAGGCCGCCGAAGAGGGCTGGCTGCCCCCACCAAGCTGCCTCCACCCCGGCGAATTGCTGAGATTCCCCTGGGGAGACCCGGCTCCAGGAGTTTCGGCCACGTCAGCCTTCCACCGAGCCTCGCGACTCCGCCCGCCGCCGCCTACTCCGGTTCAGAGCCGGATCCGCCGCGTCTCTTCTTTGCATCGCCACCCCAGGCTGCTCCGCGCGCGCCTGCCCGGTCCTGGCGGCGGCGCCGCTTCCTTCTCCTCCTCCTCTTCCTGCTCCGCCGGGGCAGCCACCCGCGGGCGGGAGAGACCCCCGAAAGCCCGGTAAGGCTTGGCACCCTGCTGCTCCCGCGGTTCACCGGCGAGCTCGAGCGGCCGGGGAAGGACGAGGGAGGCTGTCGCCGAGCAGGCGGCGCTCCGTGCTCTCGCTGCCGTCCCTCTGCAAGCCGCCCCCGCTCCGTGTGGCTCGCCGTCCCCCCCGGCTGTTTCTTGGCCCCTTAACTTTGAGGATTTCCCTTCTTGTTCCCGTCCCCCTCTCCGCCCCCCGTCCCCCTTTGGCCCCATTTTGCTGCGTAATTCCCCCCGGCCCCCCCTTGCCCCCCCCCCCCCCGGTTTTTGCCTTTTGCCCTCTTTTTGAAACCCCCCCCCCCCCCGAGAGGGTTGCTCCTCTATGCAGGCTCTTTCTTTTGGGCTGCCCTTTCCTTTCCCCCTCACTCCTCATAGCCTCCTGATGACTGACGCTTTCCTCTCAAATGCTTTCTCGCTGTAGCAGGTGAAGGAGGGGACCGCGGGAAACGATGCTTTTTTAAAAAGGGGGGTTCCGGGTTTTTTCTTGTTCTTGGAAAAAAACAGGCAACTTGAGCGGCGGGGAGCGCGTGTTTTGCTTTGTTTTGAATATTGAGTTTTGTTTTCCTATATTTCCCACAGGACTTCACCTTTGTCCTGGGAGGGGGGGGGGTCACACAAGCCCCTTGTGTGTTGGAAGAACATGTGTTGGGGTTGTGGTATAGCCCCTCACTCAGTCCTGGGTAAAGATGTCCTACACTGCTGAGCAGATCTACAATGGGGAGGAGTTGTCCTGATTGGCACAGGCTCCCCCATTTTCTGCAGCAGCTGTGCATGACTACTTAGGTACTCTCATAGGTCCCTCAGGGTCATTGCATTAGAATGAATTGTGGGAGATTCAGGACAGAAAAAAAGAAAGAACTTCTCCACAGCACATGGTTCAAGTATAGAATTCATTTCCACAAGATGTGAACAGTCACCACTTTGGACAGCTATAGCAGAGTGCTGTCGAGATGGCCATCAAACCATGCTCTGGGACTGCAGAGTTTCATTAGGAATGTTCAGTGTTCGCTACTCCTCTGTCTCCCCGTCAGCACTTACTTCACCATGTGTCCTAAACTTACTTTCTTCAATGCTTGTTCTTTTCACTCATTTGCCTGGTCCTTTTCTTAACAGAATCAGCCTGTGCAAACCTAACTGGTCTGTTCTTGTGGGCAGCGCTTCACCTGTGCTCACTCTTGTAAGGCTAGCCTACTCCTTTTGCTGCTGGCAAAGTGCCCTTTAACAGTAGAGATCAGCAAGGAGCTCTTTCCTCCACAAACCATTATTTACAACCAGCCTCTTCCTGTGGTTGTGTCTCATGTTGCAGATCCTTCACCGCACGCCTGATATAATTGCCGTGCTACTCTCTCTGTGTGAACTTGCCTGTATGTGTTCTGTGTAAGACTTTTTTTTTTTTTTTTAGCAAAGTGTCTATTTCTGTATTTTCCATCTGATAAGGGACAAATTTTGGGTTATGGGTTGGGTTTTTTTAAAGAAAGTCAACATCTTTCAGCCCTTCCTCACCTAAGAAATAATTTATAATATAGGAGCATAGCAAGTTGCAACATAAGCTGTTTTATGCCAGGTCAGTCCCTTGGTCCTTTAGCCTAGTGTTGTCATGACTGACTGGCGGCAGCAGTTGTCCAGGGTTCCAGGCAAGACCCTTTCCTAACCTTCCTTGGGGATGCTGGGGATTGAACCTGAGCTCTGCCACCCACCTCTGCTTCCTTTATCTGTGTCTCCACTTCTGAAACACTTTCTTGCAATAGGCAGGGACTGTTCTGTTCAAGGTAGATAGGTAAAAAGATTAAGGCCATCTTGATTTCAAGAAGGCTGGGATCTGATTGTATTAAATCATATAGTAATTTATTATTATTAGTAACACATTTTCATTTTATTTCATTTCTGTACTGCTCAATAGCTGAGACTCTCTGGGCAATTCACAGCAATTCACCATGCAAAACATAGTAAAATATAGCATAAAATACAGATACAACAAATAGTAGTACACTCTATGTATGTGTAATACTTTTTGAAAACTAGAAAACTATTATTATGAAAGGACCTGAAAGAGTTAGCATAGACATGGACATCTGGGAGAGTAGGAATGCGTTTTTTCCTCTGACGGTGCTCCTGTTCCTTTAACAGCAGTGCAAGAAATAAGTTGTTAAAAACAAACATTAAAAACCTCTATGTGCATGTGAAAGCAAAGAATCTGAAGACCTTTCTTTTTTTAATAGATGCTGTCTCCTTAAGAAACACAAGTGACTTATCTCTGAGTTATGCCCTCCAAAATCCCACAAGAAATCTCTTCAGAAATATATGTAGTTCCTTTGATTATACCATCCTGAAGCCTTTTGGTGTGCTCTTAAAGGCGCTTGATTCAGGCACTTATAATGGAGCCTACATCACCCAAAGGAAAATGTATCAAGGACTTCAAGAGAATCGACTTGTTATGTTTAGTCTTAATGTGCTTGGTAGCCTTAGTTTCATCTGATCAAAATTATTATAGTTTACTTGGAATATCCAAAGAAGCAACAAGTAGAGAAATAAGGCAAGCTTTCAAAAAATTGGCATTAAAGTTGCATCCTGACAAGAATCAGGTAAGTAGACCTCTCAGTAAATCATTTTCCAATTAACAAAAAACAGCTTCCTTTTTCAATTTTCTTCCTTTAAGGCTTGTGAGTGCCACATTATTTTTTAATTTCTTACAAAACGAATGTGTTACAGTATGCAGGCAGTTCCCTGGTTATGGATGGGTTCCATTCCTGAGAAAACAGTAATTTGTTGTTAAGTCGAATTTGTATGTAAGTTGGATCACATATAGTTGGCCCTCCACAATTGTGTGGGTTAGGGTTGCAGGACCTCCATGAAAGTGGAAAAAAACATGGCTATCTCTAGCCCTCTCCCGGTGCCACCTCACCAATGCCACCTCTTTGCAACAAGGAAATGCGGGAGGATTTTCCTCTCTGGATGGGTGGGGCAGGAAGGCATGCTTTGGGGCCCTGCCTCTCTCCTTTTTGTTTCTCCCCTCCCTATAGAAATTATGAATTTTATGCAGTAATTTTTTTAAAAAAAATAGGCTATATGGCAGTTCGTTTGTAGGTACAAGTTGTTTGTAACTTGGATGTTTGTAATTTGGGGACTGACTGTAGTGATAAAGTTAATGAGTTTGTAGTTATTTAGAAAAGTACCATTTATTTCATTCAATAGATGAAATTTTTGATTTTTTACAACTTTTAAAACTTTAACTTTTTCTGCCATTAGTGTTGTTTTCCAGAAAACCATTTATATAATATCTTTGGGTCATATAACAGCAGATCCATCAGGTTAAATGCATCCTGCCATGGAACTGTTTGCTAAATCCTTGTTTCTGATATCCCAGCCAGGCAGCGAGATGAGGTGGCTGCCCTCTCCCTCTCACACTCTCACACACACAGGTAATCCTGTATTACAAGCAACCTATGATCAGCTTGCTGGGTGACACATTCAGGTGTTGCTCTATATCAGTGGTTCCCAAACTGTGTTCTGCAGAACCCTATGGTTCCACAAAAACCTCACAGGGGTTCTGCAAAAAAATCTCAAAAATAAAATTTAAAACAGATTTTAAAATAAAACCACACAAGGCCAACTATTTGATTGTCAGTTGGCGTCCAGGCAGCAAATGAGTAATGCATCATGTCATTTGGTTCTTAGGATTCTATTGCATAATGTTGGAAATAATAGAAATAATGTAATTCAGATATTGCCATGTAATCACTTTATTCATTCATTATATTTAAAATGTTTTCTCTATATTTCCAAACCTACTATGTTATACAAAGCACACAGGCAATAGGAACAAATGAAAGAAGGAAGAATGTTGTGGGTTCACAATGCTTAATAAAAATCAGGGATAGAATTAGGGTTCTGTGGAAAAAAAAGTCTTTAGAAAAAATCCATGACTGAAAAACTGCTGCTCTATATTATGACATTTGAATTATGCTCCAAAACTGGGGCATATTTGTCTTGGAACTGCAAGTATGCTGATAGCTCCTGTTCTTCGGCTTGAATTCCACAAGATACTGGGACAGATGAGTTAAGGTACAATCCTGTGAGGATGTCTGTAGTAGCCCTTTAAAGTTGGAGGATTATGGACATCCTATGCAGAGCAGGATTATTGAGGTGACCTTCTCTCCCATGTTCTCCCACCCTATGAAACAGCTGATTTCTAGACAGTTTCATCTATCAAACTGGGGTACTTTGGAGCAGGAGGGAGGGAGGCTGAGGTGCTGGCAGGATATATCTTGTTAATCTTCTCCCCTTCCTGTTCCCACCAAATCCACTCTTCGAGGCCACATTTCTTTTCACGCTGGCTGTAATGGGAGGATATTCTGAGTGCAGATCCCAGCTCCAAGGTCAGAACGATACCTCTGAGATGGGAAACCAAATAATTGTATGGTCCCCTGTCTGAAGGACCGTAGGTTTGCTGACATGGAAGTTTTCAGAAATAGGGGAAGCAGTATGATTGTATTAAAAATAAATAAATCTATTCTGGCATGCCCTTTCTGAGCCCCTGAAAAGCCTCTCCTAAGGAAGAACTCTCCTGACTGTAATGAGCTGTGGTGTAGGACACTTGGAGTAAGGGATGTGATTGCCAAAATCAGGCAAAGGCACTTTTGCAAGTGTAACCTCTGCTCAGTGAAGGTCCCTCCATACAATTTGCAGCAATTCCCCACAGCCCATCCTTTCAGGAGGAGTCCTCCAAACCTCAGGAGAGGTTTTTTTGCATGACTGCCATCAAGGAGATAGGCTGAAGCCCCCTTCTGCCTCCCACCCCATTCCATCACTTCTCAGGATCCAAACTGTTGACTTTGTGCCTGGTTATGAAGTCAGCAAAGATGGGGGAGGTTTCCAGCAACTCCTTTTAAAACTCATCTGCTGACAAGGATCCAAATATGCCCAATAGATCAAACACAGAATATAATGGAACAGAACACTCTTAAGCGTCCTTAAGACTGACATGAGTTGGCTTGCAATATCCTTACCAATTCTGTTAACCCCAGGAATTTCTCACTGTTGCAGAACAATCCAGAAGCACATGAAAACTTCTTGAAAATAAACAGAGCATATGAAGTTTTAAAAGATGAGGATCTGCGAAAGAAGTATGATAAATATGGTGAGAAAGGTCTGAAGGATCACCAAGAAGGAGGTCGCTATGAAAGTTGGCACTATTATCGCTACGATTTTGGTAAGATCCCTGCCTGGAAATGGAGCGGAATTGTTATGTACTGTTCCCCTCGGTACAAGAGATTTGTCCACCTTTGGTAATAGCTCCAGAGGAACACAATGACCACAACTAATACAGTTAAAGCCATTTAAGCTCACTTAATGTTATGTTGAGCAGTGGCTACTGAAAACTAGCACAGTAGGGTGCACTTGGCTGTCTTAATTATTCTTAATTCTCAGGAACAAAATGTCTTTGGTTCCATTATATTAACTGAATGTCTGTTTGCAACCAGTGTTGGTGGTTCTTCAACCTTCTCCTTAATTAATTGCTTTTGCTACCTTCTCATATGGTTTCCAGATCAGGAAACCATAGCTAGCTTTCCTATTCAAACTTGCTTTTCATTGTTTTAAAGCAGGGGTGACCAACTGGCAGACCGCAATCATTAGTTAGGCTGCAAGATTATTTTCTTCTCATCATGAGAATTCTCAGAGGCTTGGGTTCTGTTGTAGCCAAGCAGGGAAGGCCCATATGTCACAAGTTCCTGTTCTAAAATCAAGCTTGCTTGCCTGCCCCTTAGCTTCACACAGAAAGTAAAACCTGCTGCTACATTAACTTGTTCCATATTTGTTGGTTATTTCTTCTTTTATTTCTATCCAGCTATTCCTCACAAAGAACCAGGTCAGCTAAAGACCTGCACAATCCAATAGATAAATAACACCTTTCAGATCAACACTCTAAAATCACAAGCATATTATAGAATACAATAAAGCTGCTGGTGCAATAAACAAGAACCAAAAATGCATTAGTCAATAGCCCCAAAGCTTGCAGAAGCACATATGTTTTAGTCAGAGCCTAAATAACAACAGTGTTGTGGACAGCTGAATCTTTAAGCAGAAAGGCATTCCATAGCTGGGGTGCCAACGCTGGCAGTTCTTGCCACATGTGCTAGGCCCACAGGCCATGTTCCTTAAGGCTACCACAGGTAATCCTCACTGACTAATCGTATCCTGGTTTGGTTACTGCTGAGGAGGTGGTCCTTCATATGAGGTGGCTTAGCAAAAATGAAGTTTCATAATATCAAATTATGAGCAGCTGGACAAACCTAGGAAACAGACCCAGGAGTCCAACTAGCATAGTATGTCTACACTTCAAAGCAGATTTTCCCAGTCCTGCCTAGAGATGCCAAGGATTGAACCTGAGACATTTGTATATGGACCATAAACTCAAACACTGATCTGTGGTCATTCCTCTAGGGCAGCGCTGTGCAACATGCAGCCCCTGCTGGTAGCACCCTGCCAACTGTTTCATCCTGTGACAGCAAAAAAAAAGTGGGTTTCTGCTGTGTTATGGGGGCGAATCACTGGGGTTTGTCACTAGTGGAATCTAAAATAGTATCCAAACCCACCTGTCTTAAGAAAACTCTTAACATGAACAGCTTAGTGTTACTACTGAGCAATGACCTTTTCTTAATGCACTGCTATATTGCTTGCTAAATCAATTGATACAGGATGAAAAAACAAGTGTTGGTTGTGGTAAGTTAGGAACTGGAAAATGAAAAAGTCAATAGCATGATATTGTGGTGTATATTGCAGAGCTGACGGCTTAGATTTCTTAAACCTGAGCTAGTAACCTAAATTTGCATGCTATGGATTGGATCCATATTTGGTGAACTTGGCATCAAAATCACTAACTTAAGCCCAAATTATTTCAGTGGTTCTGTATGGTTAAAGTCCTATTCAGGCATTCTGTAAATCACTTACTGGGACCTCTACATAGGAAGAGGGGCATTTCCAACCTTGCTGATGTGGTGTAGCCCTTTCCTATTTATGTCTGTGCATATAGCATGAATGTCTGCAGAGGGAAGGCCTTTGAATATACATGCAGAGGCTTCTAAACAAGCAGATGTTTCTAAATGCACATATTCTAAATGAGCAGGACTCCCAATCATGCATGCTGGAAAGCTTCATTATCTGGAAAACATGATGCAAAGGCCTGTTTTGCATGCATAAATCTAAGAGTTTGGGACTACATGCCATGTGCAAGGTTAGGGTGGAGCCACAGGCAGTCCTCAGATTACAAACAACCAAGTTACGAACAGCTTGTACTTATGAACAAACGGTCATAGAACCTATTAATTTAAAAATGAGTTAAAGGTCTACCGTGGAAAATTGTCACCACCAAAGAGAAAGAGGAAGTGAAAGTGGAGCAAGGGGGACCTCCAAAGCATGCCTTCCTGCCCCACCCATCTGGAAAGGGAAATCTCTCCAGCATTTCCTTAGTGCAAAGAGGAGGCACTGATGAGCTTGGAGGAGGAGTCTAGAGATATTTGCAGATTTTCCACTTTGGCAGGGGCCCTGTGCCCTAACTGCAAACATGCAGGGCCAACTGTACATGAACTGACTTAAATACAAATTTGACTCAAACACATTCTCAGAAACGGAACTTGTTCATCACCCAGGGACTGCCTGTACTCGGCATGTTCCTGTGGTGAAGTAAGTGATTTACATGATTCTGATTAGGGCAGGCTTCTTGAGATGTGTTGCTGCAGCAACTCCTTTGGCCACGCCATCTGTTAATTATGCTTGTTTGTCGGTTGCATTTATATACCGCCCCATCGTCCATACATCTCTCTGGGCAGTTTACAGATTCACTGCTGTTTCCAGTACATAACTCCTCATTATTCCAACTGGAATGTTCTTGTCTTGGTAAGAAGAAACATCCCCAATTGCCTCATGATGTAACATAGACTATCAACTTTACAAGCATGATGGAAGAACAGGATTCAATGGCCGGGGCTGAGCTATGGTTTTGCTTGAAAAAAAATTAATGGACTTGATGTAGTTTGGGGCAAATCTCTACAGCCACAATACATAATACTATACATAACAGTCAGGACCATAAGAGTGCAATTACACCGAAGGTACTCTTATTAGTCTAAAGACTTGTCCAAGCATTTTAATTCTGTGGGTATATTATACCAGTAGTGCTCAGAGCATGCCATAGCAATACATGCCTGCAGAAATATACTCTTGAAGAGTCAGTTCTGTTTGCTTCTTTTAGCTGTCACTTAATTGCTCATTCCATATTTCTATGAAAACTATGCTCAATCTTGTTACTGAATGTGGAAGTTTACAGGACTACAGCTAATCTCCTAGTCTATCATAGCCAACTTTTTTACTTCCAGCATAGCTATTTAATTGTCTAGCTTACAGGCTATCAATTTGATGGCCTGCTTCATCCTAAACCTCATAGAGATGTAGCAACATGTTAAATTTCATACATGTTAACATTAACAAATTCAAAAACAAGGGCAAACAATCTATTAATGAAGTATTAAACAGATATACAAGAACTGAGAAATAATGGAATTTTGGGAGTTGCTTTCCAGTGTATTCAGACAATGTTTGGTTGGGGAAGGCTCAAACAGAGCTGAGGTCTGAATCCAACTTTATATGTATAGATTATTTTTCAAAGCTTCCCTGTGTGAAAGGTGGAACACCCGGCCACCTTGCCCCAGGTAATGACTGGTTTTTTGCTAGAACATCATCATCATCAAATACACTGGGGGGGGGGTCCCTCTCTTTTGTGACATAACTATTAAGTTATAAGCTAGAAGCTGCTAAACTCTCCTTATGAAGAATCAGATTCAATGTAATGTATTCATACACAATGAAGTAATAACTGGTTTTTAAGGCTATTTTAAAATGTTAAATGTATGTTGGTTTTTTAAATGCTGTTTAACTATTTCTTTGCCAGGTATTTATGATGATGATCCTGAAATAATAACATTAGACAGAGGAGAATTTGGTAAGTTATTACAATCAAATGGTTTTCTGATGCCACTGCTCTAATTTATTCAAAATACAGTGTTGTGCTATGTAATTTCTTCCCAGGAGAAGGTGTTACATAGATTGTAAAAATGTCAGCTAGAATGAATACTAGCATACTGTTAAAGAGGGTATTGTATTTGTTTCCTGCGAAACATATGAGTATAAAAGCTGTAGTGTAATTTTTTCAATCTCAATAGAAAGCTAGTGACACCTTGAAGAAGGAAGAAACTGCATTAAATTCAAAGTCTCATTTTGCCGTCTTAGGTTTTTGTTATGGCTGGTCACAGAAATCGTAAGGGTACACCACAGGGCCTTCTGCATCAGATGCTCATAAGCCTCCAAACTGGGAGGTTTACATGCATCCAGTAGTTTGAGTGAAGTGCCACTGTGCCTTGGCCCATGCATTTCACCTAGACATCTGTTTTCATCTAAAGTACTGTGAAGAGGGAAGGAAGGAGGCTGGAGCATGGACAGGAATCAGTATATATAGACAGCTCCAGCCTTCTGCCTCCAGCATGGCCCCTTTTCCTCCTCTCCAGGGCACATTAGCACTCCTAAAGAGACATCCAGCTTCTTTCTTTCAGGTTCTTTCTGTACCAGTTTCAAGAGAATGGGGCAGGGGTTGAGATACTGGAGTCCCAGTACCAAGGTTGCAGGACTTCAGTGCTTGGAGTCCGAAGGATCCTATGGCCCTCCAGGCAATGTTGGGAGGGCAGTGGATTATCTGTTAAACAAAGTACTGTCATTATTTCCTCTGATTTTGCTCTTTCTCTAGGTATTTTGATTATTTTTTTTCCCTATAAAAATCAAATTAATAAAAAGTATGCATAGTTCTGATCCTAAATCGAAATCCTGTAGTGGTGTTTCTGGGAGAAACTATTCCTTACTTCCCTTGTAATTCAAACACATACCAACACAGATTTTAAGTGTTGGCATGTGTTTGAATTTCCTTTTCATGTTTAACCTGGGTATTTACAGAGGATAAAGGCATGGCTAATCAGGCATGATAACTCCTTGCCTGTGCATACAACAAGGGCCCTCCCACTGATGGTATTTGAATAACTGATAGCTGTTACATTTTTTACAGTGTCAACATGATACGGTTGTCATACGTAGCCCGTCTTCTGGAATAAATGATGTTGATACTGTCTCTAAAGTATTTTGAGCAGGCTTTTTCTTTCATTGATTTATTATTATTGTTATTATTAGCCTATTTATTCAGTTATTAAATGAATAAATTTAATTTAAATAAATTATAACTTTGATAATTTTTATTATGATTATTGAATTATTCTCCTGCCCTTCCTCTAGGGAGATGAGGCAGGGCAGCCTCATAGTTCCCACTCAGTGTTATTGTTACAACAATCCTTTGAAGTATGTTAGATTGAGAGAGAGCAGTTGACCAAGTGAGCTTCATGGTTGATGGGGATTTGAACACTGGCTGCAGAACCCGATTTCAGTCTCCCATACCAGAAGGACTGGCTTCATTTCTCTAAAGCGCATGTGCCATCATTGCTGCTTCCCTTTCCATTATTTCCCTGTGCTACGCGTCTCTGCTACCACCCTTCCATCCAAATACAATATGCATGTGAAATTCTTTTTTACAATACAAGTGCATGATATGCATTTGAAAGATTGGTTAATCTAGCGTGATGCTATGTGGGAGTTGAAATACGGAACTGTTCCCCGTTGCTGAGCAACTAGAAATGTACAGCAGTTATTTCCTGTGTGCCGCTTACACACGTTTCTGGATCTATGCCAGCCTTTTCCAACCTGGTATTCTACAAGACAGAGTTCCCATTATCCCCAGCCAGCACGGCCATGGTTGAGGATGATAAAGGCTATAGTCCAACACATCAGGTGGGCACCAGATTGGAGAACAGCTGATCTAGATAGTTCTAGCTACATGGACAAATATTACTGATATTCCCCCAAATATCCTTCAGTTGTTATCCACATCCATTCCTATGGAAATTCCGTCTGCTTCTTATAGGTAAAGTTAAGGTGGGAAGGAGGTAGGTTAACATCTACTGGTACTGGTAAAACCTGGATGATTTGCTAAGGATTTTGGGCACCCAATTTAACAATAACAACACCACAAAGTCCTTTTCAACTCTTCCACCACCATTCTGAATGAAGCTGTGGGAGAAACCTTGTCCAGAGTGAATATCTGTGTGGCTGAACTGTGAGTTCAGATCTGGCACTGAAGACAAACCTCTGACCTGAGCATGTGATTGAGTATCCTTGTTCCTTAACTCTAAACAGTATGTTTTCCTCTTTCCTACCCTCCTCCATATCTCTAGCCACTATTCTGCACCTGGGTCCAGCTGGTCAACCTCAGGGTTCTAATAAAAAGCAAAATAGTTCTGGCAGGCATAATGTCTGCCAGAACAGACATCTGTTCTGGACATACATCTATGTCTGTCTCATTTAAAATTGAAGGGAAAGAAATTAAAGTAGGGGAAGGAGTTTCCTCTGTGATGATTCCTCCTCAGAAAAGTTGGAGGTGCTCATCTTTCTTTTTTCTTTTTAGAAGTGCTAATGTCAGATACAGTGCTCAGCTGGCATTCTAATTACAAAAGAATGTAAGAATGTGTTGCTGGACCACAACGAGATCTATCCAGTTCAGTGATACCCAACCCGGGGTATGCATACCCCTAGGGTTATCAGCCAGGACATTTAGCGGTATGGGGAAAGATTGAATAATGGTGGGGAGAGGCACATACGTCAACAGTGTCAACAGTGTGTGAGACAAGATGCAAGTCAAAAGCTGTAAAATTAATTGAAAATTATGACCAGTGGCTGAGTGGGTTTTCTTCATTATTTAACCTTGAGAAAATCCCAGTTCCCCTTGCCACTTGTTACTTTGCCACTTGTTACAATCGCCACTTGTTACTTTGGCAAGTGGTGGGGAGTCCCTTCTTACAACTTTATATAAAAAATAAGTACTGTAGTAAGCTGAATGCAGTTCCAGATTTAAGACCATATCTTAAATCAGTTGAGCCTGATTTCAGAAAACTATGTGCTTCAAAAAAAAAAAAAAAAAAGCTTAAGGATTGCACGAAACATTAGTTGCATATAAAATATTTGTTGTGTTTTAGAAAAAACATTTCAAATTTCAAGTTTTTGAATTATCAACAAATTAAATGTATTATTTAATGTAATGTAGTTTTTATGTAATCTGTGATGTATTTACTTGATTCTTTCGAGTTTTAAATTTATTTAAATATTTAAATATATATAATATATAATTATATTATATATATAATATATATATTATATTAAATATATATATATATTATATATTTAAATATATAAATTTAAATATTTAAATAAGGTGAACTGTCTGTTCACATTATTCCATTACCTTTTGTTCCCATTATTGGGCTATTTATTTACAGTTATAACATATAAATTTGAAATAACAGGAACCAAATTAATTACAAAAGTTTGCTAATATGAAGACTCCATTTTATGGAAATAAGCTGCCAAGGGATATGCAAGTGAAAAATGTTTGGGGACCACTGATCTGGTCAAACTTTCTGCCTTCAGCAGTGGCTTGCCATGTGCAGCCTCAGGCTCCTTCAACTTTTTTGTTTTTGACTTTTTGGACAGCAACATGTCTGGACTCTTGCCCCTGTTCTGGAAAGTTTTGTTCTGCTGCTATGGTCATTGAAAGGCCTGTTCCCCATGCCCAACCCATTTTTTAAAAATCAGGGATAAGGAGCATATGGTCTTCCAGAGGCTGTTGATCTCCACTTCCCATCATAAGCTGCCATTGGGCTGCAATATCTGGAGAACCACATATTCCACATCCATGTTTTAAAGCTGTCAGAATTAATGGTCATCATATCTTGCTGATGAAGCCCCTGCATTATTTACGTATTGCCAGAAGCTTATCCAAAGCTCTAGTAATGAGATACAGGGATCTTCCTTGACTGTCCCAGTTCCTAAGAAATGCTCGGCTTGCTCTTTAGAGAAGAGGGCATGTGATTTTTGTAATTCTCTGAAGTGTCCTGTTGTTTCAAGAAATATGTGAACAGAAAGTGCTAGTTCTAGTTAAAGGACGCAACAGGGATCTAACACAGTGTCTTGTCTTGCCAGCTGAAGAACAAGAGGAAGTACCCTGCCAAAGTATTTCCTGTTTGTCATTGTTTTGGCATATATGTCAATAAACATATGGATGGGGATGATTGAGTAGACTTTGCATCCTTGGACTTCCAAAGGGCTTTTGACAAACTCCCTCACTAAAAATTTCTATGTAAAGTTAAGAATAAAAGGTTAGGTTCTCTTATGGACCAATAATTGATTTTAAGGAGCATAAAGCAGAGAGTACAGATAAATGGTAAATTCACCCATTGGAGAGGTGCAGACACTGGGATCTCATGGGGATCTGTACTGGAACTGTGCTTTTCAACTTATTCGTAAATTACATGGAATTTTGGCTGAGCAGTGAGATGGTCAAGCTTACAGGTGATACCGCGTGTTTAGGGCAGTTAAAACAAAAAGGGGTTGCAAGGAGTTCTAAGCAATATCTCCAAACTGAGAGAACTGATGTGAAAAGAGCAAATGTGGTTCAGTATAAAGAAGTGTGATGTGGTGCACCTTGGGACAAAAAGACCCAACTTCAAGTATGAACTGACAGGATCTGAGCTAGCAGTGACTGAACAAGAAAGAGATCTTGGGGTTGTGGTGGGCAGCTCAATGAAAATGTCAACACAATGTCCAGCTGCTGAGAAAAAGTCAAATTCTGTGTTTGGCATAATTAGGAAAGGAATTGGAAATAAAACTGCTGTTATCATTCTCGCCTTACATAAATCTGTGGATCTTGCCATTGTACCATGGGAGTGTTTGATGGAGAAAAAGAAACATGGGGCAGGTGGGCAGGGTTGACTGAGGGCACTGTTTATGCAAAACCCATCATGTTCTTATGTTTGAGTGGGCATTCATGAATTGAAAAAATAACAGCGTAATTTGTATCCTTTTAACAATAGATGCTGCTGTTACTTCTGGAGAATTGTGGTTTATAAACTTCTATTCCCCTCGATGTTCACATTGCCATGACTTGGCACCAACGGTAAGTATAGATACAGCATGCATGCTGCCTCCGAATTTGTGCCTCATCTTCTGGCTCCATGTGCGGAGTCTTGTGGATTCTGCTTGACAAGGAAATTTAGCTGGATCTTCGTCATTCACCACCTCCTTGCTTTGCAAGAAAGCTCCGTCACCACTTGCCATGGAATCATCCATCACGATCCATAAACTGCTCCATCACTGCCTGACTTTGCGTCATTCTCTCCCGTTCTGCATATGCGCAGTCTACCCTTGATGCCCTAGCAGGATCTCAAGGCATTGCAATTTAATATGCTGCTTCCTTCTCAGTGAGCTATGCAAGTGGTTAGACCAAAAATTCATCCTGCATTTTAAGGTTATGAGGTTTGGGCAGGTGTGGTGCATGGTGGGTGAGACCGTATTTTCCTTCCAACAAGGTACAGCAGAAGCCATGTATCTTCACAGAGAGGTTCCCAGACTCACAGTGGATACCTGAAACTGTGGATAGTAGTAAACACTGCACTATACATACCTGTGATGGAAGCTTCCATTATCAATTAGGTACAGTAAGACAAGCCTAGAAAGCAGCAGCTGCATCAGAAGGGCTGACCCAGAGGTGCTGTGGCACAATTGGGTGGCATACAAATGTTTTAAATAAACAAATTGCTGCTTCCAGATCTCTGCCTTTCAGCCAGATAGAGCCTCAGCTCGCCCCTCTTCTCTCCCGCCCTCAACAGGCCTCTTCCCGAGTGCCTGTCCCCCACTAGCCCATATGGGAGCAGCTACTTCCATTTCTCTCTCCCCCACCCACCCATATTGTAGTGGCAGACAAGGCTGCACAAGACAGTCAGAGTCCACTCAGGCACCATTAGGCAAGAACATGGTTGCTGAGTCTGCAGATATGGCAGTTCTGCTGTATCAATATAAGGTAGAATTCTTAATGATCCTAGTAAATCTGAAGAAGAAGCATTTAAATTATTTATAAAGCATTTCTAAATATGAACCCAATTTCTCTTATTAAAACAAGCTTTTCTTTTTGCATTTTAAGTGGAGAGAATTTGCTAAGGAAATGGATGGACTAATACGTATTGGAGCTGTAAACTGTGGTGATAACAGAATGCTTTGCCGGACTAAAGGAATTAATAGCTACCCAAGCCTGTATGTGTTTAAAACTGGAATGGTAAGTAAGCACATACATTTCCTGGCCCAGCATCCCCTTAGATTCCCAAAGGAAGCCATCCAAGGAGTCTCCCCCCAACCATGTAGTCAGAGAGCTTTTGCATGAAGAGCAGTCCCCCAATCTATTTGATACTTGGTGACAATATTCATCCTCACAAATTCAGTTGAAAGTGGACAACACTAGGAACCAGTGTTGCATAGAGCAATGTTTGTTAAAAGAATCTGGCACAGAAATTACTTCAGACACATGCAAGGGGCACATGGATACATGATGTCCCCCCACATGTTCCTACGCATATTGGTCCAGCCCTCTCTCTCCTGAAAATGTTGCATGGAGGGGATTTCAATGAATTTCTATTCACATCAAAGTGAACACAAGCAAAATCCCCCATGCAGTCAGAAGCCCTGATCACATGGAGGATTCCACTTGTGTTCAAGCAAACACAAGTAGAAGCCTTCTGCAAATCTCCCTACTCAAATGGGAAGATTGGAGACTGAGCGCCAGGAAATACAGCCCTAGTGTCTGAAAAGGGCAAGTGCAATTTCTGAATTATATATTTGTTGAAGGAAAAAAATTATGCATGGATATTAGATACATTTTTAAGATGAAATACTTATGACTAGGATTTTATTCTTAGCTTTCTAAAGCCTTGTGTGAAGGCTTTTGGGAATTTTAAAACTCAGATTGGGTGGGTGGATGGATACTATAAATTTGTTTGATAAATGCAGGCTAATACATTTGAACCAAAAATATGCAAAATATGATGTCTTCTTTTTGTAGAATCCAGCAAAATATTACGGAGACAGGTCAAAGGAGAGTTTAATGAGTTTTGCCATGCAGTTTGTCACAAGCTCAGTGACAGAATTATGGGCAGGTAAACTATAATTATTTAGTGTAATATTGTTGTTTGCATATTTCAAATTCTGCAGTCAAATAGTGGATAACATGAACTAATTGAAATATCTCTCACCTGAATATTACTAAAAGTATAGAAGATGTGAAATTACTATCAGAGATGTATTTCTTTCATAAACTTGCATTTTGCTTACTATATAATACTGCTAAGCTATAGAACAAATAGTCCATGTCAAGTAAACATTCTTAATAAATGGAAAAAGTTGGTGCTGATCCCTAAATGTTTTGTTTTTCAGGAAACTTTGTTAACTCGATTGAAACTGCATTTGCCTCTGGTATTGGCTGGTTAATTACCTTTTGCACTGAACATGGAGGTAAATAATGTACATATGTGTATTTGTGTGTGTATTTGGAGCAGTTAGAGAGAGAATTTAATTTCTCTGACATCCAAATATCAAACCAAAGAAATGATAGTGTAATTAGGAAAATATTAGAAAGAAAGCAATATTTTGGTCCTACGCTAAAACTTAAAAAACTAATTTCCAAGAAACTGTTTTAGTTTAGTTTTGTATAGGAAAGCCTTTCTACAGAAGTGGGTGTGATTTTTTTTACTAGAGCTGTCTCAAATATCAGAAATTATTTTCTTTGGCACCATAGAAAATGCTTCATCTTGGTTCCCCAGTCCAACAAAGCCATTCTTAGAACTAGGCAGAGAGCGATGGTGAGTGATTGGAGGGCAGAACGGCGCATGCCGCATGGCCAGCTCTGCACCCATCAGTAGCCTGCTCCTATTAATTGCAGCAAAACATTCCCTCCCACTGTTAGTGCTAAAGTAAAATTGAGTAGCTAGTCCTGTTGGGCTTTGTACATGGAGTGCAGGGAGATGTCATTTTGCCCTTTGTCTCAGGAACCCAAAAGTCTTGGACCAGCAGTGAAACTTCGTATTGCGCATCCTGGAATATACGGGATGTAGCGATGATTGGATGTAGTGCCAATCGGGATGGTTTAAAAAGGGGACTAGACAAATTCATGGAGAGTGAGGTTATCAATGGGAACTAATCCTGATGGCTCTACACTTCCTCCAATATGACTCTTGTCTGTTGTTTTTTGGGGAACTTGAGTTGGAGAGTGCAGCTGAGCTCCTGTCTTACTGGTGGATGCCTCACGGGCAGCTGGTTGGCCCCTGTGTAAACCAAATGCTGGACTAGAAAATCCTTGGTCCTGTCCAGCGTGGTTCATCTTACATTCTTGTGTTTTTAATTTGAAAAGTTTTTTAAACATATGTGCCTGCCATTTTCAGTCTTGCACCACAAGCCAATCTCTCTCATTCTTCTCCCACCCCCCACTCCAGATCTGAGAGTGTGGTAATGAAATCCTCCTAGTTGTGGTATGTTTTGAGTAAATCTCATGTTTCCCACTCTAAGAGAAAATATTCTTTTTCCATACTCACTGGTAATTAGCATATCTTTGACTACATGTGCTCCAAATTTAATTGTGTGGTGGAAATACCTTAATCTTTCCCCCCAAAAAATCTATTTGTATAGTGACATTTTTGTGTGCAGTAAAGTGATTTAATATGACCTTTATGATAAAGCTTGTTTCTCAGTAATGTCTTTTTTGCCCTTTTTCTAGATTGTTTAACTTCCCGCACACGCCTTAAATTGTCTGGCATGTTGGTAAGCAACACTTGATTTAAGGAATTTTAAACAGAAGGTTTGATTCTGCCAAAGTTAAGAATTTCTAGGACCCACTGACCTAAATGCATGCTTAATTATTTCAGTAAAACTAGGAAGAACATTGCTTTTAAGTTCTTTCTGGGAAAGGATTCCTTTATAGGACATGTAAAGCATGAATTCAATTGTTAGAATATGTCTATTTCGTTGTTGTTGTTGTTGTTAGTCGCTAAGTCGTGCCTGACCCATTGCGACCCCATGGACAACATTCCTTCAGGCCTTCCTATTCTCCACCATCCCCTGGAGTCCACTCAAGCTCACACCAACTGCTTCAGTGACTCCGTCTAGCCACCTCATCCTCTGCCGTCCCCTTCTTCTTTTGCCGTCAATTGTTCCCAGCATCAGGCTCTTCTCCAGTGAGTCCTTCCTTCTCATTAGGTGGCCAAAGTATTTGGGTTTCATCTTCAGTATCTGGCCTTCTGAAGAGCAGTCAGGGGTGATCTCCTCTAGGACTGACCGGTTTGATTGCCTTGCAGTCCAAGGGACTCGCAGGAGCCTCCTCCAGCACCACAATTCAAAGGCCTCAATTCTTCGGGACTCAGCCTTCCTTATGGTCCAACTTTCACAGCCATACATTGCAACTGGGAAAACTATAGCCTCGACTGTACGCACTTTTGTCAGCAGGGTGATGTCTCTGCTTTTTAGTATGTCTGTTTCATTGCTGACCCTCATATGGATGAGCGTATATAAGATGCAAATTTTGTACAACATATCCTGCCTCAGTCTGATTTTCTTTCTGTCTTGTCCCCAAAGTTGTTTAACATCTGTAGGAAGGCACTGGGAGTGACCTTTAAGCAGTTTGGTACCAAGTGCCATCAGTGTGCTGATGACACACAGCTCTGTCTCACTGCAATATCTGAATCAGGTGAGGCTGCACAAGTCCCAGACTGGTGCCTAGACTTAGTGATGTGCTGAATGAAGGCCAGTAATCTGAGGCCGTATCTTGACAAGATGGAAAATGCAGGTAAGGCCAGGCCAGGAGATAGGCTCATTTCTTGTTCTGAAGCAGTTTGGACTCACTTCGAAAAGAACAGGTTCATAGTCTGGAGTTACTGCTACATCCATGACTGTTGTAAGTTACTGTGGTGACTCAGTGCCTATTTTCATCTTTGAATGGTCTATCAGCTACAGCCTCTCCTAGAAAGGGGTAGATTAGCCACAGTGGAACAGGTGCTAGTAAGCGCAACACTGGACTATTGCTACACATACTGTATAGGGCTGCCTGTCAGGCTGAAGGAATTGCACTGGCTGCCAATTCACTTCTAGTCCAGTTCTAAGGTTTTGGTCCTTGTGAATAAAGTAAAACTCTAAGCAATGTGGAACAAGCATACATTAGAGAACTGTTCCTCCCTTACCAACCTGCCTGATCTCTGAGGTGATCAGATGGTTGCAGCAGACCTATGCTTTGACGGAAAGGGGTTAGCAACTCCCTGATCGTGGATCTCCCTGCTTCTGGAGTTCAGGTGAGCACCAACTTGGTGTTGCTTTCAGTGCCTCCTGAAAAATCTTTATTGCAGAAGCCTTTCAGCCACATTGTTATTGATATTCCAGTTTCAGCATATTGTTTTCTTCATTTATATGTGCTTATTATTTACAGCTCTGGGATCTATATATATGTGTGTGAAGAGGTATATTAATGTTGTTAGTGAATTCATTAAAGAAGGAGTTTCACTTCTTCTTCTTTGTTTCATACAGGAAGGCCTTGTTAATGTAGGCTGGATGGACTGTGCCACCCAGGGTGAGCTTTGTGATAATTTGGATATCTCATCTAGCAGTACAGCATACTTTCCACCTGGAGCCACTTTAACTAATAAAGAGAAAGGAGGTGTTTTGGTATGAATTGCTTTACAGTTAGTTTGCATATATGTACAGTTATATGGTGGTGGTGAAGGAAGAAGTGACTTTGTAAATATTGTTAACTTCTTCATAGATTTTGTTTGGGCTCTGTTGATTTTATTTTCATTCCTCATTTATTTGCTGCTTCTCAGAGACATATCAAATTTTCTGTCTGATAAAACATTCATGCTTTGTATCTTTAGAAACAGGATTATACTTTTTTCTGTATTAACACACCACAAAATATTGTGGGCAGTATTCAGTGTGATCCAAAAATGAATCTAAATAGTATTGCAAAAATACAGCTTCTTATCCTGTCTTTTTAAATGTATCTAAAAACAAAAGATTTGACCACATTTAAGCTAAATCTCTGATCAAAACCAGTATGGACTAAGTACTTTAAAATTTGGCTGGATTGTGCCCAAAATAAATGAGCATTAAGCTCTCACCTACTCTGAATTGCTGTTGCTCTTTCTTTCCTACAGAGATAGGTATTATATGGAGGGCTTTGTGAAATATTCTAACCATATGAAGCGGTGAATTCCACTCTCTTTGTTCAAATGTTAGAAAGCAGGGAAGTAGTATATTTAAGAATTAGGAAAAAAATTAGAATAAACCCAGTCATGCCATAACAAATATTGCCTTGAAAAGCACAACTCTGAAACGCAGTGATGTGGCCTCAGAAAGTGTATATTTTCAGTGTAATGTGTATCAAGCCAAGGATTCAGGGCATAGACCAAGCGCAATAGAATGCCTCTTGTTCCTCCTTCCAGTCCAAAGTTTGGTATCTCCAGGCTTTAAAGTCAGAAAGAGGTTGTAAATAACTAAAGTTAACCCCTAAAGTGGAGTGGGAAAACACCCATTTGTTTGCACCAGAGGTCAGCAATGCAGCAACTTCTGTTCCTCCTGTTTACCATCCCTTCCTTCCCTCCATCAATTCGGAAACAAGGTCCTGACAGACCTCCCTTAGTAATTGGGAAGAGCAGAATACTACCCTCTTCCCCAGGGTTGTTTTAGGCAGCACCTGACATACACCAAGTGATGGGAGTGTAGCAAAACAGAAAACATCAAGCTGACAAAGGACATAATCCCCTTCCTTCTTGCTTACACAAATAAATAAATAAAATCTTAAGCGTGTCCATCTCCCAAAGCTATGCAAAGCAGTGCAGAAGTGGTTCTGTTTTAGCAGCTGCTTAGAGATATGTGTGTATATAACAGCCTCAAGGCTAAAATTGTGATTTCTCCCTTCAGTTCCTAAGCACTTTAGATGCCAGAGAGATCTATTTGGAAGTCATGCACCATCTCCCAGACTTTGAAATGATCTCAGCATCAACGTTCAAGGTAAGGAGGAGTCTCATCTTGACTCTTGAAGGACATCATCAAGACTATATCTTCACTTCTTTCTATTCCTAAATACTTTGTTTTTCTGGGTTGTTGTTGTTGTTAGTCACGAAGTCATGTCCGACCCATCGCGACCCCATGGACAACATTCCTCCAGGCCTTCCTGTTCTCCACCATCCCCCAGAGTCCACTCAAGCTCACACCAACTGCTTCAGTGACTCCATCTAGCCACCTCATCCTCTGCCGTCCCCTTCTTCTTTTGCCATCTGTTGTTCCCAGCATTAGGCTCTTCTCCAGTGAGTCCTTCCTTCTCATTAAGTGGCCAAAGTATTTGAGTTTCATCTTCAGGATCTGGCCTTCTAAAGAGCAGTCAGGG